TCCCTGCACTCAGCGCCCTGCACGGACGGCGACACAGCGTGATGGCTGTTCTGGTGAGACAGGGGACAGGATTCTTAAAATATAACAATGGGGCAGAGGCCCCGGGAGGGGCACTGAGTTGGCAGCTGTCGCTCCTGGGACTGGAGACTGTGACTGGGGTTGGATGCACTTTGGCAGACACGGTCTTTCTTTCTCTTTCTTTTTCTCTCTTTCTCTCTCTCCCTCCCTCACTCCCTCCCTTCCGTCCTTCCTCTCTTTCTTTCTTTGCAGCTGAGCAAGCCCCCCTGGCAAAGTGGAGGCCCCAGGGTGGACTGACTGGGAGCCCTCTGCAGGGTTTAGCTGAGTTAACTTCCCAACCAACTATGATTTGTAAGAGAGCTTAAAGGCGGGGAAGAAAATCCTTTTCTTAGATTCAGCAGCTTTAGCTAATCAGTGGCATCTCTGGGTGTCGCCGCTTGGCTGCTTGCTGATGGATTTTTTTTTTCCTCCTCCATCTCTTGTTCCTGTTAGGGAATCAAGGGGCCCAGGAGACCCAAGGCAGGGTTAGTCTACCACAAAGACAGAGCTCTGATCCAGACCCGTCCAGAGCACAGGAGCTTGTAAATCAAACCGTTAGCTTAATAGCTTGGGCCATTATTCTAAAGCAGTGGGGCTGAAAACCAAAGCCAGATGAAAATATGGGCAATTTGTTCATACTTTAGTGACTGAACGACTATGTAATGTCAGCAGGGCTGGGCGCGGTGAGCACAGCGCGACAGGTGGAGTGTGTGCTCCGGGAGGGGCGGGGGAGACAGGTGCTGACACCATGCCTTCCTGAAACAGACCCTGGCGAAGAGCCCTTTCCAGGCCTGGCCCCCGCTGCCGGGGGAAATTCAACAAGGGCAAGCAGGCCCAGGCCAGCCATGTGGGAGCATTTCCTGAGCCATCAGCAAGAGTGCGGCCTGCAGGGGTGCTGGACACTGGGGGAAACATGGCAGGAAGCACCCGGAGTCGCCATTCCTTACAAACAGGGGAACCGGCATTGCATGCGGCAAGTTAAGCCCACCACTGTGAGGCTGTTATCCCACATGGGCACTGGTGCGAGTCCTGGCTGCTCTGTTCCCACCCGGCTCCTTGCTAAGTGTACCTGGGAGAGCATCAGAGGACTCAGGCAGGTCCTTGTACCCATGTGGGAGGCACATATGAAGTTCCAGGTTCCTGGCTTTAGACTGGCTCAGCCCCGTGTGGGGAGTGAAGCAGCAGGTGGAAGATCTCTCTCTTTTTAATTCTGCCTTTCAAATAAATAAATCTTACAGAAAGAGAAAAAACCTATATATTTTTTCAAACTAGTCCTACTTGTTCTATACAATTTCCATTTGCAAATGCGAGAATTGAAGTCACACAGGAAGGAGAACGAGACAATGGACCTCTGCCCCGCTCTGGGGATGCCGGGCTATCCCCCCGGACCCTCCTTCCAGAGGCAGATGCCCACAGGCGACATGTGCCCTGTACAGACGGGGGTCGCCACTCTGGGCCTTTCACCTGCTGAATCCCTCCAGGTGGCAGCGAGTTTGCTGGAAGCTGAGGTGCCAAGGGCTGCAGGGGCCTTTGCCATCTGCACCCCTGACACCCCAGCTGTGTCTTCCACAGGACAGTCCATCCTTTCATCAGCACTGGGGAGCCCTCACCCCTCTGCTCGCCATGGTTTACAGTTGGGGGACCAGAGCTGGTGTGCTGCACACTGGGCTGCTGCTGGGACCTTACAGTCCTGCCTCCCCATGTGGGGATGGCTGGGAAGGCTGCCCGGTGCTTGCTGGACAGAGCCCCAGCATCCACAAAGGGCAGGTGAGCAGCGTGAGCCCGGGCAGGATTGTACAGCACTTAGGGTTAATGCTAGCCCCCATGCTCGGGCTGCTGCCTAAGGTTGCCATCTCTGGATGACTTCTGGCCAGGCATGCGGGGGTGGAGCCAACCCAAAGCTCCCTGCCCTGCTGTCTGCCTCTGCAGCCAAGCACCCACCCATCTCCTCATGCCACGCTAGTCGCACAGCAGCAATAGCAACCCGAGGCTGCCTTGTCCCACCATGGCACTGCACACAGGGCCTGGCTCAGGGCAGGGAGATGTGAGGCAGCAGAGGAGGGCTCCCTGCACCATCACCCACAGGGACTTCACACCTGTGCCCAGGGCAGGGCACCCTGACAGAGGCCTGACCGTTCACTTTGGGTGCCAGCACTGGCTGCTCCGCATCTGATCCTGCTCCCTGCTCACGCACCTTGGAGAATACTGGAAAGTGGCCCAAGTGCTTGGGCCCTGCACCCCTGCGGGAGACCCGGAAGAAGCTCCAGCTGAAGCTCCTGACGCAGCTCCGGCTGAAGCCACTTGGGGAATGAGCCAGCAGATGGGAGATCTCTGTCTCCTTCTGTCTCTCCACTACAGTAGAGATAAACCTTCTGGGGGAAAATGAGCCTTATCCTTTACCTTTCCACAAGGAAACTGAGGCTGGAGAGCTGGGCCGTGCCCACCTGCCTCGAGGCCCTGGTGGCTCTGTCGCCCTTCCTCCCTCCGGGGACGCCTCTGGCTGCACACACATCACTGGGCACCCTGCCTGCCCGGGCCGGGGCCCCACCGGAGCTCTGCCCTCAGCCCTGTGGGGGGCTGGGCTGGGGTCCCAGAGGCCTCTCTCTGGGGGCAGCCCCCTGTGAGCAGCAGAACCGGTGCCTCTGCCTGCCGCGCTTCCGTGTGAAAGGTGTTTAATTATTCCTGACAGAGTTCAGCGTCGACATCTGTTCCCGAGCGGGCAGGGTCCATTTACGTTATCCATCACCCTGACAGCTCCAACTTTTTTGGAAGCGTTTCCTCCCTCCCTAACGGCCCAGCGGCTCAGCAGCCACAGGGGCATCAACAAAGACCCTTGCCCCCGGGGTGAGGGTGGGGGACGAGGGCTTTATGCAGCGCCTGGGGCAGGGCCTGTCTGCCTGTCTGCTGGGCCTATGCAGTCCAGCCCCTGTGGGTGCTGGTAGCCTCTCCCACGGCTCCAGGCTGTGCCACAGGGGCCTCTGACCCCCTGCCCCAGGCTAGACACCTGCTGGGCTCTGGGAACCCATAGCAGGGGGACCCACAGACAGGACACAGAGGAGAGCAGGTGAAACAAATGACTCAGGTTCATTGATGAATTGTGGAATTGCTGAGTGCCTTGCAAGGGAGGGAAGGGCTCCTGAGGTGGTACAGGGGAGAGCCTGCACTTGGGCAGCACCCCGACTGCAGAGCCTCAGCTTGCCCATCTGCAGAACGGGAGCACATGTGACTGGCATTGCTTTGCGACACCGAGACATCTAAAGCAGCAGCACTGTGGGCCAGGAAGGGCGGGCCCGGGAACAGCCCTGCTCTGAGAGCGCCACCCCAGCTCCCCACCCAGAGCTCATGGCCTCAAGCTGCTAGCTGGCTCTCACAGGATCCTGACAGCAACCTCGCGAGCACTGCCAAGGCCTGCCTGCTTCAGCAGGGGCGCAGGTGTCAGCCCGAATCCTGCCTGCGGACGCACCTCGCTTTCAGGCCCTGCCCTTCGAGTGGCGCAGAGGGCGAGGCAGTGACGAGCGGACACGTCCCTCCCTGCTCTCACCTGTACAGCAGGGACAAGGACATTCTGCGGATTAAATGCAGCCGTGCATGCAAGGGGGCTCTGCATGAAGCTCAACGGGGAGCAAGTATGACCTTGTGGGCTGGAGACGGCCAGCGACAGTATCTTAGAGCAATCTAGAGACTGCAAGTGTCCCTGGCAATCCGACTGCAGTCCTCTCTTTTGGAGCTAGACAACCATTGGCTTATTTCTGCCCTGAGCTGCCGCCTCGAGTCAGGTATGGCGGGGGGCACCCCGACCCCTGAGATGTGCACTCCCGACCCAGAAGTGTCCGTGCTCCCTGGGGAGGGCACAGGGTGGCTTCCTTCAGCCTGCCCAGTAAGACCACCTGCCACCACCTGCCAGAAGCCTCGGACTCTCAGCGGGCGAGGAGGCGCCCAGTGACTGAGTGAGGCCGGGCAGTGCAGGCGTGTGGCACGGCACGCCAGGGCGTCTTTTCTCCCCACAGCCACAAATCTCTCTGTCCCATGCAACATCCCTTGGATGCCTGTCCCCCAGGGCCTACGAGGGAGAAGCACCAGGGAAGTGACCCCTTCCGCCTGCCCTTTCCCACCCGAGCCTGGTCGTGTTGTTAGCTTTATCCGCACGTGAGCGTGGGTGGCAGCCGCAGCTGGCGGGCAGCAGGTTGCACGCGCACTGACACAGACTGGTGGAGGCCCCTTGGCCAGGACATGGCAGGCCGCCTCGAGAGGGGCAAGGGGGGCCAGGGCCGGGGCTTCTCCAGCACAGAATGTTGGAAGGCATTAAGCTCAGGGTGGCACCAGCCCCTTCATTGTCTGAATCGCAGTTTAATGTAACCTGGCACGTGGTCAGGCCGCAGCCACAGGCAACCTTTCTGAAGCGGGTAGCTGCCTTCCCCCGCCCGCCCGCTGGCACCTGTGGCCTCCTCTTACTTGAAAGGCCCCTTCTGTCCCGGGGCAGCCCAGCTTCCCACCCCCAAGCCGAAAGCCCCACCTCCCGTGCTCCTCCATCTCATGAACTTCTTCCCTATCAGGGCACTCCAGGGCTGCACGGCCCCCTTGGCTGGGCTCTGCCTCCGGAGCCTGGCACGCCCCCTGGGACAAATCCAGCTCAAGGTGGGCACAGCCCCAGAGCCACTACCCCCAGCCAGTGCTGGGGCTTGCTTTGCCTTCCCAAGGGCCCAGCGCAGGAGGCAGTGCAGCGGCACCCCCACCGCTGGAGCGGGGTGTGGCTCCCACAGCACCCTCACTACGCAGGTGCATGGGACAGCCCAAGGCTGGGCGACTTGACGTGACATCCCTGTGCCCAAGGCCTGGTGGCCACTCCCCCCTTCTGGGACCAGGCAGTGCTGAGGTGATGGAGCCTGGGGGCTGACCACTGACCCTCCTTGTGTTGGCTGTTCTGCCACTTCAAGGGCACCAACCTTCTGGAAGTGAGGCATGTGCCAGAGGGCGTCGAGCTTCACGGGCGGCTTGTACTTCCTCAGCTGACTGCTCCGGGTCTCGTACAGCTTCCCCAGGATCACCTGCGGGCCAGGGGCGGGCAGTCACCTGGTTAGGCCCTCGACCTGGAGGGCAGGGGTTGGGTTCCTCCACGTGGCCGCCGGCAGGGTTACGTGCCCTGCCATGGCCTTTCCCTGAGCCCTGCTCCTGCGGGGTGCTCAGAGGACGGAGGCAGGGCCCTGGGGTTATCCCAAGCACACCACCGCTCCTGAGCTGGCCTTAAGAGAGGCAGGGCTAGCACGGGGCCCTTGGGGTTTTGAGCGACCCTGTGGTGTTGGGAGATGTGAGTTGTCTGGTGGGGGAGGGGCGGGGAGGGACTGTCCCTGGGGAGCGGGTGTCACCATGGCCTCCTGTCTGCAAGAGGAGAAGCCCCCTTGGGGGGGGACGGCCGGGCTCCAAGCACGAGGGAGCCCCGCTGTCCCTCGTCCCACGGAAACTGATCATCTCAGTGCTGTGGCTCCTGGGCTGTGCTGGGGACTGGGCCGGGGACTGGGCCGCGGCCCCCATGGGATGGAACTCAATGCCAAATCCATTAGCAGATGGCACACATACCCATTAAAAAAAATCTTCTGTAAAATTTTTCTTTGAAAACTACAGCACTAGACAGAAACATCTCCCATCCACTGGTTCATTCCCTAGATGCCCAACACAGCCAGGACAGGCCCACACTGACACCAGGTGCCAGGGGCTCAAGCACCTGTCGCCTCCCTGGGTGCACAGGCGCAGAGAGCTGGATTGGAGACAGAGGCGGGACTCAAACCCAGGCACTCCGATGGTATGGGACGCAGGGTGTCCTAAGAGTGGGGGTCTCACCCCAAGGAAATGGGGCAGAAGACCAGGTAGGCCACTGGCTGCCAGTCTAAGAGAGCGTCAGGAGCCAACTCCTGCTGGCGACATCATCCCGCAGATTGGAAAGGGTTAAACGGTGCCTGTATGGGAATGCTGACCCCACAGCTGGAGGATTAGCTTGCTGTGTTACTACCTCACCCTAATGCACGCCCCTAACTCCTGGCTCTTTGACTCTGGGCTCTTACTTCCTGCTAATGCAGGCCCTGGGAGAAGGCGGGTGGCTCACGGGGTTGGCTGGCTGTACCCATGTGGGAGCCAGAGGATGGCCACAGCCCTTTCTGGCTCAGAATTTCCAATCAGTGCAGCAAGAGACTTAACTCTCACCGCCACCACACCCAAACATCACCTGCACATCTGCAGTGGGGGCAGGCCTCTAGCCCGGTGGTCACGGTGCTTGACAGGCTTGATGAGGCCTCCTCCTGCGGCACTGCCATCCCAGCTCTCCACTTCCCAGCCAGCTCCCTGCTAATGCCCCTGGGAGACAGCAGAAGAGGACCCAAGTGCTTGGGTCCCTGCACTCATGGTGGAGGCCTGGAAGAAAATCCTGGCTCCTGGCTTTGGACTGACCCAGTCCTGGCCATGTAGCCATCTGGGGAGTGAACTGGCAAATGGATACACACACACACACACACACACACACACACACATACTCTCTCTCTCTCTCTCTCTCTCTCTCTCTCACTCTGCCTTTCAAATAAATTAATTATTTTTTTTGTTAGAAAGATGCCCGTGGCCCACCCAGTGCCTGGGTTCAAGCCCAGACCCCAGGCTGGCCCCAGCCTTAGGAACATTTGGGGCAGAACACTGGCTGGCCAATCTCAATTCCTTTCTCCTTATTGGCCTCTCAACAGATCCTTAGACACAGGAGCTTCTTCCAGCTGGGCCACCCGGGGGCCTGAGCCCGGAACCAGCCACACAGGACCCAGGGGCCTCATGGGACCGAGTGGGGGGCCAGCCACACAGGACCCAGGGGCCTCGTGGGACCGAGTGGGGGGCCAGCAGCACAGGACCCAGGGGCCGTGTGAGGACCGAGTCGGGGGCCAGCCACACAGGACTCAGGGGCTGCGTGGGACCAAGTGGCCCGGGGGCCAGCCACACAGGACCCAGGGGTCGCATAGGACCAAGGGGCCAGCAGCACAGGACCCAGGGGCTGCGTGGGACCAAGGGGCCAGCAGCACAGGACCCAAGGGCCTCGTGGGACCAAGGGGCCGGCAGCACAGGACCCAGGGGCGGCGTGGGTCTGAGGGGCCAACAGCACAGGACCCAAGGGCCTCGTGGGACCGAGGGGCCGGCAGCACTGGACCCAGGGGCATGTGGGACCGAGGGGCCACCTTTACCTTCTGCTTTTTCTCCAGCTTGATGGCTCTTTGTGTAGCCTTCTGTTCCTGCACCCACAGCTGCTGGTACCGGTGCTGCAGCAGGTCGAAGAAGGGCGTCGACGGCCTGGGGAGAGAGGTGCACACAGGGCTCGAGGCCATGCCATCCCCTCTCTGGTGCTTTTGTCGCCCATTAGGCCACCTGCCTTATTCCCAGGCCCTCTCAGGCCCAAAAACAGTGGGAGAGGCAGGTCCTTCCCAGCGCTGAAGGTGCTGGTCCCCAGGGGATGGCAAACTCTCACCTTGGTCCAACTGCAGTCAGGTTCAACCAGAGGCAAGCACTCCGTCCCCTCAACCTGTTCCTAGCGTCTCCGCTCAGCATGTCTCCCTCCGGGGACCCTCGCAACCAGCTCGTTGGCTGACCATCCCGTCTGTGCGGGGCTCTGCATGGAGCTCAGGGCTGTGGGGGTCTGCCCCTCTTCACAACCGACTAAAGACTATTGCCTTCAATATCTGTGCTGGTTCTCTCTGACCCTGGTCCTGCACCAGCCTCATCACGCACGCCCATTCCCTTCACAACACCACTCCATCTTGGACAAGGGCGGGGAGGCGGCCTGAATCAGGCCTACTCAGGCTTTGTGTCCTGCAGCCGAAACCCTAAACAGAGTGGACAATGGCCAGACTCTGAAAAAGTGCAACTTCGTCCCACAGAAACCAGTCCACCTGCTAGGTCAGATCAAAGATGGGGGACATCAGAATGCTCCCTATTAGCAGTCGGGGAATCCAGCAAAACCTCTGGAACAATCCACCGCGAATGGGCAGGACCAAGGCATGGCTGCCCGCTTTCCTAAGTGTTGGCTTCATTCCAACTGGGGAGCGGTCAGGGAGAGCCGAACCTGCAGCCCTGTCCACCGCAAGGCTGCCCACCGCGTGCACAGCCCCTGCTGCCTGCCCTGCAGAGCCTGTGTAGGGCGCTTTTATTTCCAAGGAAGAACCTGGAAAGCCCAGCCAACCCCTCGTCGCCAGCGGGGTGAGAGGACAGGAAGGAAGAAGCAGGAATGGGAGCTGCAACTCTTGGTGTAAACGTGGGTTACAGCTTAGACTTTGGAACCATATAGCAGGTAGAAATCAAAGTATAAAATACCACCCTGGAATTCAGTATTTTCCATCTTTCTGTAGAGCCACACGGGTGTATCTGTGTCCACTGTGAAGTTTGGAAGTGACCACAGTCCAGTAGCAATGAACACCCCCACAAGGCCTAGCCCGTAGTTCCTAAATGCTGTTCTCCCATCATGGGATCTGGACGCTTAGAGAAATGGCCTGAGATGTCCCTGTGCTGGCAGCCCCAGGATGCCATCAGAGGGCAGCCTGGAGCAGCTGGGCACCACTGGTATGACCTCAGATGACCTTGGTGGGCAGAGGCTGCTGCATCAGAATCCTTTGGTCTCCTATTTGCATATGCAGATATGGCACCTGTGGGGGGGAGCAGGTGATCAGGCTGTGAAATCTTACTACGAATAGTGAGGCCAGCTGCATCTCAGGGTGGCCAAGTGGGCGATGAGGGACAGTTCCCACAGAGAATGCAAGCGTCTGGCCACTGACACGATCCGGCAGAAGGGGGACGGGAGAGTCACAAGGCATGGGGCATCATTGGCATCGTCATTATCGCTCTTCCTGTATATGCAAGGGTGACCTCACCGAACAACGAGTGTTCTGCCAGTCAGGAAGGAGTGGGGGGTCTGAGCAGCACCTGCCACAGGTGGCGAGGGACAGGGCACAGGGCACAGGGCACAGGGCACAGGGCACGGGGCACGGGGCATGGGGCACAGGGACAGGGCACAGGGCACAGGGCACAGGGCACAGGACACCCCATCACAGACTCCGTGTGAGCTGCCACGGACCCGGAAGAGGGGGAAGCCCCCTGCCCTTCCTGGAGGTGCCAGGGGTAGTGTGGCCCTGGCCTCGGGCCTGCAGAACCGGAAGGCAGCAAATTCCTGATGTAGCGGGTTACGGCTTTGCCAACCCTGCTAGGAACTGCTGTGTGTGCGTGAGCGGTGTCCACCACAGAGCCCGACACACAGAATCTGATGGCTAATGGCGACTCGCCAGAGGCACACGGGTCCAAGCTGGCATCTGAGTTCACCCTTGGACATCCCACTGTGACCTCAGGTCCAAAGTCAGTGGCACTGCATTCACTGTGAGCGGCGGTGCGACCATGCTGTGCCCTGTGGCTTTGGTCCCATGACCCAGGAAAGTTTCAGGATCGTGGGCCAGCCTCTGCTGCTTTCCCAGGCATGTCAGCAGGGAGCTGGATTCAAAGTGGAGCAGCTGGGACTCAAACCAGCGCTCACAAGGAAGCCAGCATCGTGGGTGGTGGCTTCGCATGCTGCACCCGGCATCCCCATTACAGCCGTCTAACAAGCCTTTGAGGTCGTTATCAACACTTCTCACCTCGCAACTTGTTCATGTTCACAGGCACTGTGTGGCTGTGAGGCATGGCTCACAGGCCCCAGGCCTCTTCACAGAGGTGCTTGTGGCATCTACAAGCTGGCCTCTTTGTTTCCCAGCTGCTGTCCCCCGCTGTGGTGACTTTTATTACTTAATTATTGCACATCCCATGCACTGGAGCAGCCCAATTTATAGCTGTGCTTTCTAATGACACAAGATGCGTAATCTCAAAATATCGACCCCAAGAGGCTCCTTGCTGCAGCAAAGCTGTCCTTCCAGCAGCGCCCCCGAATCCATCGCCAGCACAAGCCTGCCCTCGTGGCCCTCCAGCGGCCTCCGCTGACCGGCTCTCCGGGCAGCAGAACTTATTACTGGGAAAGTGCCGGGTAGGGGCTAGGAGCCCAAGGGTGCCGGACAAACCTCGGGAGGCCCTGGCCCAGGCTGCCCAGATGACATCCTGCTGGTCTTCCCCGTCTGCTCGAGTCACTAACAGGTGGAGGAACTGGTCTGGTGTAGGGGAAACCCAGGGCATAAATCACAAGAAACTCATTACCATGATCCACAGGCCCTTCCGGCTCCTGCCCGCCCTGACCCTCACTGTGGTCCCCCTGGCTCACCCTGGCCCTCTGGTACAACCTGACCCTGATCCTGGCCCTCACCATGGCCCCCTGGTCTGCCCTGGTCCTCGCCACGGTCTCCCTGGCCTGCCCTGGCTCTTGCTACAGCCTCCTGGCCTGCCCTGGCCATTGCCGTGGCCCCCTGGCATGCCCCGGCCGTCACGATGGCCCCCTGGCTCACCCAGACCCTTGCCACACCCCCAGCTCACCCCGGCCTTCCAAGCCCTTTCCTCCACTGAAATCCTCCTGCACAGGGTGTGTCCTCTCTTGCCTTGAGGTCCCAGTGGTGGCGTCCTCTCTTCGAGGGCTCACGCAGGACCAGCTCACGCGCTGAGAAGGCTCTAGCTGACGTGGATGCTGTCATCAAGTACCAGCACCGCCAGACCGGAGGGGCGGCCAGGCAGGAGGGGCGGCCAGGCAGGAGGGGCGGCCAGACCGGAGGGGCAGCCAGGCAGGAGGGGCGGCCAGACCGGAGGGGCGGCCAGACGGGAGGAAGCGGCCCAGGCTGCTCTCAATAGCAATTTGTTGAAAAGAATGGGAGTGAGAGAGAAGAGGGAAAGAGACAGAAGGATAAGGTTTTAGGGGTTATACTTAATACTTGGGGCGTTACCCATGCTCAACTGGCTCAACGGCCAGCATCCCTTATGAATGTTCATTCACATCCCGGCTGCTCCACTTTCCATCCAGCTCCCTGCTTGTGGCTTGAGAAAGTAGAGGATGGCCCAAGTCCTTAGGCCCCTGCACCCTGAGGAAGCTCCTGGCTTCCAGCTTCAGATCAGCTCAACTGTGGCTAACTGAAGAGTAAATCAACTGATGGAAGATCTTTCCGTGTCTCTCCTTCTCTCTGTAGATTTGATCTGCCTTTCCAATAAAAATAAATAAATCTTCAAAAAAAGAAATTGGGTTCCATGTGAATTAAGATCAATGAAGGAGAAGAAGTGGACGGACCCGAACATGGTTGGTGGACACGGGGACAGATGTCCCCACAGATGGTTCTGGAGTCCTGGCCATCTTGGGTAAGTGCAGCATAAAATCAGGAAAGAGAACCCTCTCCCCCCAGCTCGCCTCTTATGTAAGGATGAGCTCAGATGGATCACAGATTTAAAACAGGTGAGAAAATTGTCAAACTTGCAGGCCAGGCAAAAGTTCTGAGACTGGACACCAAAGCATGACCCAGAGAAGAAACCAATGGACAAGCTGGCAAACTCCACAGGAACTGTGAAGATGAAAAGACAGGTTCCAGGCCAGACCACGAGCACCCCAGCTCCTGCATTTGCGAGCTGGTTGACAGCTGGCTCAGCCACTGAATGCCAAGGCCTCGAAGGCAGGAGTAGAATATTTGCAAAGTATGCTGTTGACAAAAGATTTATATCTAGGATAAAGACATTCCAAAGCTTTGCAGCAAAATCTCCAACCTTCTTACAAAATGGGTCAAGGCAAAACAGACGGGAATGGTGAGTAAAAAACGGCCAGCACCTCCAGCCACACAGACCATGGTGACCTGCACCACAATGTACCACGGTGACACGTGCGTGATGTCATACGCCATGTCACATGCCATGACGTCACACACAATGACATTCACTGTAAAAACCTGTGTCATACAACAGAGCTCCTGATTTGGACCGATGCTCTGGCTCCAGAGTCCAGCTGCCCACCAGTCCGCACCCGGGGAGGCAGCTGCGGCAGCCGAAGAACTGCGTTCCTGCACCTGAGCCTGGGCTGAATCCTCAGTTCCTGGTTTCTGCCCAGCTCAGTTCTCACTCCTGTGGGCACTGGGGGGATTCACTACAGAGGGAGTGCACACTCGCCTTCTCTCCTTTGCTTCTTTCTCTCCCCCTGCTTCTCAAGTCAAACATATCTATAGGAAAGAAAATAATTACATGTGATAATACCATGTAACCACAGTTACCTGTGACAACACAATGTAACCACACGGATGCAAGTATAGGCCTCTTGTGGCGAGATCTGCAGGGTGAGGAAGTCTGGTGGGCCAGGTGGGGGTGGGCAGGGGACCTACAGATGCAAGTGCCAGTGGCGAAGGGGTGAAAGAAGACTGGCA